ATTTTAGATTTAAGCTGTAATATTCATCAGGAACAACTCAGATTACTTTCTTGGTGCTAAAGCATGAAAACAACCCTGTTTTTGAGGCGTTTCACATTAAAACTTAATGTGTTCACGGCGCTCTCTGCTGCTGCTGCTGCTGTTGTCTGTTTGGGAAGTGTGAGGCAGAGCCATTAGTGTGGTTTCTTTCTTTTCTTCTTGTTTTTACACATCTAATGGACCTCGGTGTGCTAATCATTGTCATGATGGATGGACTTAATACAAGTACAAATGGCCCCAGTCTCGCCGATGGCTGCATATTGATGCTGGGCCCAGCTTCAAATGAGCCAACAGAGCACATGATTGATGATTTTAAAGGAGGTTTAATGTGAAATGAGCGTTACCTTTACAGACCTTAACAAGAGGATTTGTGTGTGTTCTTGTGTTCGTGCGCCAGGACATCCCAACAGGAGCGGACAGCTGTGTGACCAGCCTCTCCTGCGACTCCCAGCGTTCGCTGATCGTTGCCGGTCTGGGCGACGGGTCTGTGCGGGTCTTCGATCGGAGGATGGGCCCCAATGAATGGTAGCCTCCCATCATCACTTTCTCGTCACATTAAATCACTTTCAAATTTATGATTTCTCAGCACGGTTTTATTTCACTGTCTCAACGTTATTTAATTTCACTGACGAACACACATGGCAGTTTCTGTGGGCGTTTACTCCGACTCCAGACTCGTGCATTATTCACTTCTCTAATCTATATTTATTGTATGTAGTGTGCCATAAATCTCCCTTTGGGGTTGCCTCATCCTTTAATGGACCCCGTGCCCCCAACTTGGTTAAACATTATTTTAATTTCAGCCCCTGAGGGGGAAAACAAGGCAGTTAAAACATGAAGTGGCCCATAAATCTTTAAATGAAGCTAATTTAATAGTTTCCCTTCAGGCTGGGAGTTACATCTTTCAGCAACTGTTGCCTCCCCGTGTTGATCAGTCCAGAGCTGATGGTTGGACTCGGTCTTAGGAAAATTTTGTATAGAGAAGCTTCTTTTTTCAGCGCTTGGAGAAAAGAGTCCTTAAAATTCGGCGTTAGACAGATCAGGCGCTCGCTCTGGCACATCTGTGCTCCGACTGTAAAGTGTTTCTTTACTTATTCGGTAATTCGAGCGCCGCTCAGCTCCAAGATGATGGTCATACAAAATGAAATCAGAAAGACTGTTTTTTCCCCACCGTGATGCCACTCTGCCACCCAGTGGTGTGTCATCCTCATTACATGTAGAGCGGCAGGATTTATCTTCAGTTTTTTTGAGTACCACACTGGTTACCTAAGAAGAAAGTCACCACCCAGTTAAATCAGCGGTCAGATGAGAGCTTTTCTACCAGATCATTTAGTCACATTACCTCATTTGCTTCTAATTAAGGAAAGAAAGAAATTAAACGACTGTAACGGCGTTTAAAGTGTTGCTGGATCAAGAAAAGCTCCTTCATGTGATAGACGTGTTTTTATTCTCGCTTCTGCTGCAATCATTTCATTCTTCATGGCTTTTTCACACCCAGTTAGCCCAAAGCAGTGAGTCAGTGATTTAAAACACAGTGAGTTGCAGATATTTTCGGCCTCACTGCACCCATAGATGATCACACACTAGAGGCTCTCCTGTTGGTGGTGAAAATACCACTAAATGTACCAAAAGACATATTTTTTAAATGGTTTGTTTTGACTTGCTGTCACTTGTAGCGCAGTTAACTGACGCTTGTTGTGTCTCCGCAGTCGTGTGATGACCTACAGGGAGCACGGAGCCTGGGTGGTAAAAGCTCATCTACAGAAGGAGACAGACGGGCACATCATCAGCGTCAGGTATCCTCTTTCACCTGCTCAGACTCACAGACACTAACTTGAATGTTTTCTTGCCTGCGCTGACTCTGATTATCCCGTCAGTGTTAACGGAGATGTGCGGTTCTTTGAGCCACGGATGCCGGAGTCCATCAATGTGCTGCAGACGGTGAAAGGCTTGACGGCTCTAGACATCCACCCGCAGGCCAACCTGTTCGCCTGGTGAGTTGGTTTGCTTGACGTTGGGTCAAACCCAGAGAATCAGATGCTTTTTCCTCAAGTAAATACCTAAAATGCACGTGTGTGACTCTTCTGTGTTTCACTGTCGACCTTCCAGTGGATCAATGAACCAGTTCATAGCGGTCTACAACGCAAACGGCGACGTGATCAGCAACATTAAGTACTATGACGGTTTCATGGGACAAAGGATTGGTGCCATCAGCTGTTTAGCCTTCCATCCTCACTGGGTAAGACTAGAGCTCAACTGTGTATCTGTATAACACCTGTACCTGACACATAAATGTTATTAAAAAACTGAATATCTCTAATTTAGTGAAATTTAAAAAACAATGCATCCCAAAGTGGAAATGTT